ATTCTGGATAGATTAAAGACCTAAACATCCCAAGATGCAGAACAGACTATTAACAAGGAGAAAACAGGCAAATAATGACCTATGGTATGAGGTACAAGACACAAAAAGCACAAACATTAAGGCAAAAGAAAAATAGAATTCATCTGTTTAAATGCAGACTTCATCCTCCCAAAAAACATCAAATTATACCCATACAGTGGAATCTGAGATAGTCATATAGTGACAAGTATCACTTAAACTGTTGTGTGAAAAAAATTAAGATGCAGAACAGACTATTGCAAAAGGGTAATAGGTTAGAAAGGTAGAGGATGGAAAAATATGTACACCTACCTGTACAGACTCTCTACACGGACACGAAGGAACCAATAAGAGGAACTGCCTCTGGGAAAGAGAGGAAGGGGCTGGTGCTAAAGAGCAGACTCTTCCCCTCACTGAACAGTCCATAATATCTTTTGTTTTGTTTTTAACCATGTATACATATGTGTTACCTTCTCAACCAATAAAATCTCCTGTTGAGAAAATCTTAGCCACTGTCAAAGAATAAAAAAGAAAGAATGGTTTAAATAAATGATAGTATTTACAACACCTAAGATACGGAAGCAACCCAAGTGCCCACTGATAGATGAATGGATAAAAAAAGTACACAGGGGGCTGCAGCTCAAAGATGAGGTGGAAAGGCAACATCGTAGGGCCCTGGAGAGCACCTGAAGGACTCCGAACATTACCCTAAGAGAAATGGTTTTAAAAAGGAAAGAGTTTCATTTTCATTTTTAACAGTCTCTATTTGGAGACTAGCTAGGAGAGGGCAAGACTGGAAGCAGAGGGGAAGGAGCTCATCCTAACAATCTCAGTGAGGAATGAGGCGTCCTTGCCCAAAGTGGGCCCAGTGCCTCCAGTGAAAAGAAGTGGAAAGATCTGACTACTGTTTAGGAGGAAGAAAGGCAAGGAGGGCTCCTAGATTCCTAGCACAGCAGTCAGAGGTCATGGAGCCATTTACTGTGACAGAACATGGTCAGAGCAGCACTTGTGCTATGAACCATGGGTGTGGAGAGGCTTAAAGGCAGCTGATCCGATACTGGAGAGATTGGAAGCCAGGCCTTGACTACAGCACAGCCCGTCTAAGCATCATGTGTAGCCAGGGGCGTTTGTTTTCCCAGTAACACTTCCAAACTGACATATAATGGCTAGAAAAAAATGCTCCCTCAGTCCCTGATTCTACTAGGGTTAACAGGAGCAAGGAAAGGAGCTATAGAAAAACAAATGAGGAGCATCTCCACAATATTTTATTTTGCTTTAAAATTTTATATGGAAATGTAAAGGGTTAAGAATAGCCAAGACATCCTTAAAGAACAAGGAGAGGAGATCTGCATCCTACCACCCCCCCTACGCCAGTTATCAAAATTTATTATAGAGCAAAAGTAATTCCAACAATATTAAACTGACCCAGGGATACCCCAACAGACTGCAGAACTAATGGAACCATGCATATATGAAAACTTTATATCTGAGCTGGTAGGACATAGCAATAAGGAAAGAAGGGATGATTTAGGCTGCCTTTATGGGGAAAAAATATGAAAGTGTACCCAACAGCCTTATATAATACACAAAGACCAATTCTGGATAGATTAAAGACCTAAACATCCCAAGATGCAGAACAGACTATTAACAAGGAGAAAACAGGCAAATAATGACCTATGGTATGAGGTACAAGACACAAAAAGCACAAACATTAAGGCAAAAGAAAAATAGAATTCATCTGTTTAAATGCAGACTTCATCCTCCCAAAAAACATCAAATTATACCCATACAGTGGAATCTGAGATAGTCATATAGTGACAAGTATCACTTAAACTGTTGTGTGAAAAAAATTAAGATGCAGAACAGACTATTGCAAAAGGGTAATAGGTTAGAAAGGTAGAGGATGGAAAAATATGTACACCTACCTGTACAGACTCTCTACACGGACACGAAGGAACCAATAAGAGGAACTGCCTCTGGGAAAGAGAGGAAGGGGCTGGTGCTAAAGAGCAGACTCTTCCCCTCACTGAACAGTCCATAATATCTTTTGTTTTGTTTTTAACCATGTATACATATGTGTTACCTTCTCAACCAATAAAATCTCCTGTTGAGAAAATCTTAGCCACTGTCAAAGAATAAAAAAGAAAGAATGGTTTAAATAAATGATAGTATTTACAACACCTAAGATACGGAAGCAACCCAAGTGCCCACTGATAGATGAATGGATAAAAATATGGTACATATATATATAATGGAATATTACTCAGCCATAAAAAGGGAACTCTTGCCATTTGCAACCATGTGGATGGACCTAGAAGATACCATGCTAAGTGAAATAAGTCATATAAAGATAAACACCATATGATTTCACTTATATATGGAATCTAAAAACAAACAACAAACAAAAAAGAAATAGACCCATAAATACTGACAATAGACTATTGGTTACCACAGGGAGGAAGGTATGGGGAGGGTGAAATAGGTAAGGGGGATAAAGAAGTACAAAGTTGAAATTACAAAATAAATTAGCCATAGGTATGGAAGTACAGCATAAAGAATATCACCAATAATACTGTAATATCTTGGTATGGTAATGGGGGTAACAACATTTACTATGGCAAGCATTTAAAATGTACATAATTATTGAATCACTCACTATGTTGTACATCTGAAACCAATACAGTATTGTACATCAACTATATTCCAATAAAAAATAAATGACAGCATATCCATACTGATAAATATTATATTCAGCTGTTGAATATAGTTGAATTCAGCAGCTGAATATGAATTTCATATGTATTAATATAGAACAGGTACAAGGTTTCTTTGGGGTAATGAAAATGCTCTGAAATTGATGGTGATGATGGGTGTCCAACTCTATAAATGTAACTGAACGCCACTGAACTGCACACTTGAAGTGGGTGAATTTTAAGGTATATGAATTCTAACTCAATAAAAACTGTTAAAAAAATCTATGCACATATATACTTACATACCATATGTGTGTGTGTGTACATATATACATATACACATACACACATTACAAGAGTGGGGGTGAGGGATTAGGGTTTAGCAAATTGTGGCCCATGGGCCAAATCTGGCCCACCACTGATTTTTATAAGTCAGGCTGTATTGGCACACAGCTACCCTCATTTGCTTACACGTTGTCCATGGCTGCCTTCACACCTTGTACAAGGGCAGAGTTGAGTAGTTATGGCAGAGACGATAGGGCTTGCAAAGCCTAAAATATTTAGTATCTGGCTTTTTACAGAAGAAGTTTGTCAATCACCGATACTAAAAAATTCTTAAGGTATACAGTTGAGCAAAAAACAGATGCAGAATACAGTCTGTAAATCATTTATGTACCAAAACCACACACAATACAAACTGACCTATTTTCTATGGGTAAATGTTAATAATATTAGGCAATGATCTAGAAGAATAAGGACCAAACCAAACTCTTCCCTATGGTTACTTCTGGGCAGGGGCAGGCAGATAAGGATTGGGAGTTGGCCAAAGGGATCTTTATTTGTAATTTAACTGAAAATTTGTTCTATTTGTTTTAAAGAGATGAATTCATGTATCACCTCAGTAAACTTTTTGTGAAATTAATATTTTAAAAGTGAGGCTGGTAGAGCATAAAGTTACAGGACGAGGTAGAATGAAAAATGTGAGCTCTGATTTTGTTCTTAATATTACTAAGCACTACCAGAATTTTAAGTGTTCTGATCCTACACCCACCTTAATAGTCTTTTCAGGTATTTCTCCTGGCACTCTTCTTGTATTTCCCCTTCAGTAACTTCAGAACTGAGGTTTCCAAATTTTAAGGTGAAATGAAATATAAGCAAGCGTGGCCGGAAGGGATGAAAAACAGCTACAAATGTGGGCACACAGGCGGGTGAATGGCTGGGTTCTGCCAACACTTAGCTATTTCAGGGATATACTCCCATGCCAGGGTTCCTAGGAACTACATGATAACTCTTAGTTCCAGGTTTAGTGTTGTCTTGCAATTAGCCCATGCTCATAACCTTTGTATTCCCATCTCCACATAATTCACACGACCCTGACAACCACTGCGGGACTTCTCTAAGTTTGCAAGTAAGTTTGACTGGTCTGCAACAAAGTACACCTCAGAAATGAAACTGAATGACCGGTAATGTGCAATTCAGGCCCTACATGGTACACGTGGTATGTGAGTCCCAACTCCACTGCTTTACACCATAATTTACAAAGATAACATGGGTAACAAATGATAAAGTATAGTCTATCTTTAGAAAAATAAAGTACGTGGAAATTCAACTGGAGAAAAAAATAAATTAGTTTCAGACAACTATTAATTATTATTGATTATGGGAATGGAGTTCTTCCAGGCAAAAACATAAAATGTCAAATGTAGCTCCCAATTGCATATATTTATACAAAATTAGACCTCACAGAACCAATCTTCTTGTAGGATACCTATAAACTATGTATAATTCTGGAAAAGGCAAGTGCTCTAAAACAGTAATAAAAGCAAGCACCCAAAACCTTTTTTAAAAAGGTTTTAAAACCTTTATAAAAATAGGGGGTCATTAAGGCCATGATATTTAAAGGGACCTGTGCTAGGTCTGTGCTTGAGCAATCAACAGGGGAAGCTTGCACAATTCTCCACGTGAGGGTACTGCAGCCACTTCTGCTCCTGCAACAAAGGCAACCAGACAACCCGAGGAAGGGCTGCTTTTAGCTGAAATAACCTAGAAAAACCTGGCTGTACATGAACTACAGTAACAGGGTGGAAAAGCACATTCGCCAAACTGATCTTTTAAACAAATCTGCTTTAAACAAAACTCAGCATGATCACAGCAAGTTTTCACAAAGGAGACTGAATAAGAAGTTAACAAACGAGAGGCATTAAAATGGATAAATACATGCACATACATACTTCCAGCTAATTTAAAGTTTTTCCTTGGGGAAAAAAAGTTGACTTCTAGTAAACTCACCTCCATGTTCTAGAAAGACTCGAACACATCGTTCTTTTCCTCTGGCTGCAGAGAAATGAAGTAAAGTCCAGCCATTAGCATCTCGGCCATTCGGAGAATAGCCTTGCTCTAACATCTTTCGTACTGTGTGAACATCTCCGGCAGCCACTGCAGCCTGAATCTGCAGTTCTTCCTGGAGTTCAGGGTTCCTCCGACAATGGTGGTGTAACATCCTCACTGAGTCCCCTTTTTACAAAGGGTTCATTAGGTCACAGGAATCAGCCTTTAAGGACAGGGAGAATACATAAAATTTAGAATATTTGGGTCCTGACAGCATGTCCATTAAATATCGTAGAAATTTCCCGATGTTAAATCATGTAAATCTGCATAATGACAGTTCATAATACTACAATTATCGTATTTCTGTTATGACCAAAACTTTCAGTTATTTCCCTATGATTATAAAACATTTCAAAAAGAAAGCCAAGCAGAAAGCCCTAAATGGCTGAAATTTCTTCTGCAGCCTTTTGAAAACTCAAAGCAAACATCTTATGAATGTAATAGCATTATTTCAGGTAAAATGAAGGTGATACTGAGCAGCTAGATGATGGGAGACAACAAAGGTTTGGTCAAGTGGGTACTTATTTTGGGAATTCGATTTCCCTGAGGCATGCGTTTAAGTTATAAACTGTTCAGAGATTCTATCACAGACCAATGAGTAAATGTGGGGTACCAAATGGACAATGCATAGACCTTTAATTATGAGAAGAAATTAAAAAAAAAAAAAAGGAAAACCTTTAGGTGGGTTCCCTAAGTAGTTCAACAATACTTTATTTTTAGCCCCGAAGGGTGAAAGGTTGGGGGACAGAAATGGGCAAGATTAAGTGTATTAGAGTAAAATGTGTAGATTTTATTTACTTTCCTTTTGTTTGTTTCTATTTCTCTTTCTATTCTCCTTGATTGATGTTACTGGATGCATGATTTACAATCCTTTTTCTGCCACCTATCTTTTAACACTTCTCTAATTGCAGTTTTCCAGAAGTTTACTCTATAAATATTCCAAGTAATAAGGTCATACAAAATATTTTACAACTATGAGAATATAAGAATCTAAACAACCTGTTGATTAACTACATGGAAACTATTTAAAGTAAAGGTAGATACTATATTGGATTCTCACACACTCTAATAGGTCACAAAGATGTGTACTCAAAGTCAATATAAAATGAGATCTCCTTCACAGAAACAGGAAAAGTCCAAACTGAATTGGTGAAAAGCTGCATCTTATAGGTACCTGTACAAAAACTTTTTAAATGTATTTTTAAGCTTTTAAATACATACATAGTTAAACATGCTTCTGGAAGCTGTTCCATCTGGGCTAATTTTAAAGAAAAGATTAGACTCATCTCCTAATTAGCAAGCTTCCATTTCTAAAAATAAAAAAATTTTGTGATAAAGTCCTTTACAGACATTTTGGTCTCCTATGTAGGTTAGACATCTTGGGATAATCTTATTACCAAAAACTACTCATTACAGATTGTTCAATGTTAAACTCAAGCCAAACTTAGGTCAAATCATTGCAGTTTAAGAGTATGATCAAATATCTTGTTATTTTATACATAGAAGATGGTCACTACAAAGGCAGAAGTTACCACTATTAAGTAATGTAATTTAAGAATATCAGGCTACTGCTAACAAAGAGCTATTTCCTCAGAGAAAATAGGGAAATGAGAAATTTCCTGATAATTTGTTTGCTTAATAAACATGATTCCCCCCCCATCTCTTCACTTAATTACTCCTTCAACCAACACTAAAATTAAGACTCTTCTCTTATAAAATTTAAACCCAAAAATCCTTTTGGAATAGGTTTTTGCTTATTTTTAGCATTGTAAAGGAAGATGTTGAAAGCCATTAGAAAGAATTAATGGAAACGACTACTGTATGCTCAAAACAATCATCTTTAACAAATTTGTTTTTAAGTAAGATGATAATCTTGCTATTTAAATGAGGTATACTATGCAGGAAGATTCAAACAATATCAAAACAGACCTAGATTTTCTTTTAGCAAGTGCTGTATTTAGGATACATCAGCTGACCTGAAGGAGACAAGTAAAAAAGCTAAGTGGGTCTTCCCCCAGAACAGCACAGATGACCAATGGCTGACCCTCAGTCACTTACCTCACGGAAAAATGTTCTTTCTCTTGATACGCAGATTGCCTAATAACCATTGTGCACATACAGCATCATGGGGAAGGCGCTCAGAATGTGTCCAGACTGCGGCATGAATGAGTTTCTTACCCTAAAAACAAGTAACAATCATGGAAAAATTCCTAAAAATAATAAAGAATTGTACCTGCCTGCATAGTCTACCTTTTGATAAGCTTATATTTACACAAACTTACAGAGTAGAGAAAGAACTCAAATCAATTCTTAGCGAAAATGATCTCAGATACCTACATTAATCCCCAAGGTGGTATAAAATATGAACTATATTCAGGAATTTTTTTTATAAGGCAGTTTTAAAACAATAATAAAGAAAATAATAAATCACACATTTGGAATTGGGATGCAAACACAAATCCTTCTTTTTGTCCTATCAGAGTATATTTTCATACTTTTTAACTGACATCATTAGTCATTTGCTCTTTCAAGAGGACTAAAATGAGAATATGTACATTATATATAGTAGGTGGCCAGGGCCAAAATCTCCAAAATTAAAAGGAGATTATGTCTTCAAATGCTGGCTCCTCATATGCCCAAATGGCATCGTGTTAAACACTTTGAAACTGTTATTCCTTCATGCACACACAAAACTAGATGAAATATTAACAAGTCTTGCCAGCTTCCCCATAGGAGTTCTGAAAAAAATTTCTTTACAACTAAAAGAAAAGGGATCTTTCTCCTTAAATCCTAGGTCTGTGAATTCCACTAAGGCAAAGCACACATTTAAAGTGATTTCCACACATTACACTGGAATCACTCTAGGAATTACTCACTGGGAGAAGTGCCACCCCGTCCAAGTGGGGGTGTGCTAAGCCCTCCACAACTACGCAAGGAAAGGTCAGGCTGCCTGACATCACGTGCTATAGGGGAAAAGCCTCGGTCGCAGGTGCTACTGGCTGCACACCAGTTGTCAATCAGTCCAAATGAGCGGAGTCCACACTGACCCTTTCCTCCTTTCCCACCTTTCTTTTCCTTAACAAACTTCTTCAAGGCAGGCCAAAGATTCTGCCAACTTGCACTTGTAAATAATACTTGATTTAAAACTCTGCCTATTATTTCTAAATAAATGAATTAAACTCAATCAGAACAACTCTGACAAGACAAACTGTAAAAAATCCAGAACTATCCTTACACAAATGGCTGATTCTAAGACTGGAACAGAAAGTAGACAAGATGAGCTGGGAGCATCTTACAATGCCAAAAAAAGCAGTTTTCAAAGAAAAATGCAACGATGGGGGTACGTCAAAGGAACACAAAGCCAACTGAAAGAGCTCTCAGTAGCCAAGATGGAATAATCTGAACAATTAAAATATTACTGGATTCTGATCCAAAGTAGAGAGTATCAATAAGCCTATATTGCTATAAGTAACTGACTGAAAGAACAAAGGGTAGAGAAGGAAAATCTGTGCAGCATTCTAAATAATTTGTGTAAATTCTGCCACTTCAAGAGGATGGAACATAAGTCCCCTCTCCATAAGAGTGGGCCAAGCACAGTGACTTCCTTCCAGAAAGGACAGTATGGAAAGTGGGGAGAGAGCAACTTTCGAGTAAGAAACCTAAAAAATACTGCTTTAGCTAGGTGGTCATAGTTAGTATCAATGGTGCTAAGCATGTTCGTGTGCTCTGAGAACAGCATTTTACCTCTGTGACCTTTCTTCTGAAAACCCATAACCATAGTCTAATCATGAGGAAAATAGCAAATTCCAATTGAGAGCCATTCTACAAAAATACCCAAATGTCACAGTCATCAAAAACAAGGAAACAAGGAAGTCTGAGAAACTCTGCCAGCCAAGAGGAGCCTAAGACAGGATGACTGAACGTAATGTGGTGTCCTGGGTGGGATCCTGGAACAGAAAAAGGATATTAGGTAATGGCTAAGGAAATGTGAATACAGTATGGATTTTATTTAATAATGTGTTCATTACTGGTTTATTAACTATGACAAATATATCTATTAACGTAAGATGGTAACTGGTGCAACTGGAAGTGGAGTATATGGGAATTCTGTATTGTCTTCACAAGTTTTCTGTAAATCTGTACTAAAATAGAAAAATGCATTTAAAAAGTACAAACCTAATGTCTGTATTGGTGAGAGGCATTCTACAAAAATACCCCCAATGCCTCCAGCATTTCAACAAGGGAACATATAACTACTTCCCACATGAGCTCTAGCAGTTCAAGAATGAACACCCTCGGAGGCCTTACTTCTAAGTGTGCCCTCGGTGTCCCCTGCCTCCTAAGAGAGGTAGAGATGGCCCTTTATTGTTCCAAGCCCTTAAGAATCCTTGTCCTTGCTGTGATGGCCTTCCTTCTACCCATCACCACTTCCACGGAGGGCAGGGTGCGGGCGGTTGCAGGAGGACATGCAATGTGGGAGTTGAGATTATGAAATGGTATTCATTTATTAGCAATATTAAGACTATTAAATATTCAGTAAGTGATATTAATTTATTAGTAATATCAATATATTAGTAACTTATTTGTGTTAAAACACAAGATGACAAAAAAGAAAGAATAGTAACCTGTGATAACCTCCATGGGCTACTTCAATCACACAAATAAAAGTCTACTGAGTGCCTAACATGGACTCCCCACACTGCCAGGCCTTGGCCACTTGTATTAACTCTGGGTAGAACTTTAATAGAGTTCTGCATACTTCAATCAAATAATCCTAGCAACATGAAGATCTTTTTCCCCCTTCTCTGACAGTACCAAGTACTATAAATAACCACAGGTTTAAACCAAAAAAGCACTCTTTACGTGCATCAATCTTTACAGGAAAAGCATACTGACACACATACCAGGCACACATGATCCCTCTCAGCTGCATCCCTTAAATTATGAAGGACGATGACTTATTACCAAAATATCCTAACAGTTCAAAGCATCAGAAAATTAATTTTATCTTGATGTTATTTTATAAGAGTTTGCACTTCACAGAGGATAGCTATCGTGTAAAAAGAAAAAAAAAGACCATTAAACTTAAAAAGTAAATAAAATATTTATTTTTTTTAAGTGGTAAAGGTATCTATTAAAAACCACAGAAGCTCAGAGATGAGAATGGATAAAAGCCTATTTCCCCTCAAGCAGTGGAAGTTTGAAAATCTGGTAACTCATGGAGTCACCGGTAAAATAAAAGAATGCGGCAAACGAGGCAATTTTTAAAATAAATATATGTACAATGTAAAGTGTTTTAAATTTATAATGAATTAGAATGACTAAAACTCTGAGAGTCCAATCTCTGGAAATTCCACTCCAGGTTACAGTCACAAAAAAGAAAAAGAACCTACAAACAAGGAAGACTTCAAAATGATATATCAAATTTCAGAATATCAGAATTAAATACCAAAATGAGCCACTTCCCCAATGCATATCATTTTTAAATGAGATTTTATTGCCCAATATTAATAGTGTGTTTACATTTTACAAATTATCTTTTTTACTGTACCAGAGGTGAAAACAATCTAGGTCTCCAGGCTTTTGCATTGCTGACCATATTAGAAATCATAAATTTAGGAATTAAAATGTTACCATCTAATATACATATACATGCCGCATGAGCTTCATTAAATTAAAACAAAAACTTGTTGCTTCACATAATTAAAAGAAGTCTATATTCACAGAATGGAGCAAAGAATAAGCTAAAAAACACAATATACTTAAGAACTAATTAATTAAGGTCTTAATTAATATGTTAAGTCTAAAATTATATAATTTTCACCAAATTTGCCCACATTTCCCCATTTCCTTTGCCATAAATGATTAGTCATTTATGGCTTTTTGCATATTATTTTCACTAAAACTCCACACATTTTTTTGCTTAACTGATACAAATTAGGACTGTGCTTTCAGATTTCACACAAACTAGAAACAAGATAACAGCTTGCTACTCAAAAAAAGAAAGAAGCATTTTTTTTGCAGAGTAAACAGAGTTACAGAACTGGTAAGAGAATAAAATCAGCAACTAACTCCAGGGATATCAGCTCTGAGAATAAAAAAAAAAAAACATCCACCAATGGCTCACAAATCCTAAGAGGGAAGATGGATGTAGAAACATTACAAGGCCCAAAGTGCAACGTGGCTGAGACGCATGCTTCCCAGCTCTACTTATATGACTGAGGGCCTGGAACCCAAAATAAAGTAGATATGTTATGTTAGCATTACCCAACACAGTCAGCATGGTGTTTTTGTTTCCAAATAATAAGGGTATTCCTATTTCCTCTAAATTACTGGGCCTCCATATAAGACAAGGATTTATTATCATGCACAACTTATCTCTGACTTTAGTAAGGTTCAGCAGAGAAACCAACAATTTTCATGAAATGTGGATGAGGGAGTAGAGGAGATCTCATAATTCACTTATCCAGACCCAATTTACAGCTTAAATCACAAATAATATACATGATGAGGTCTTGTCAATAATATCTTACTGATCCATGTCTGGCATGACCAACTTAGCGGCCTCATGTTAGTGGCAAGAAAGTTTTAAGAAAGGTGATAACCATTCTGCTTAAGGAGCGCCTTCAGTTGAGAATGAAATGACAGCTTGCAAGTCAGGTATTAAAGATGCTTACATAAACTTTATTTGGCTTTAGACATTTTAATGATACTACAAACTTCTGTGTTATCCAAGTTAAATGTGGACAAAATAAAGAGACACTGTATATGTCATACTAAGTAATTGTAAAGGCCATCACTTTAGTTACAAAGTGATCGGCCATAACATACTCAAGATGCATCACTTAGTATCATCAATTAAAATCAGTTATTCTCCTTATGTGATTAGAAACCTGTATTTGTTATCAAATAAATCAGGTACTTTTTTTTTTTCCCCAAAACCAATGTGACTAGCAATAGAAGGAAAACAAAGTTAACTACCACATTGAAAAATATCAACTACCTAACTGGCCATGTTGGTGAGTACCCAAATTTAATATTTTAGATGTTTGGTATAACACAGACCAAACAATTTCTACCACTTATTATTAGGAACAGATGCTGACAATTTATATATATTCCCAAATCTTAAAAAAACCATTAAAAGCTGAGAGGATCAATGAAGTACTATCGAAGCAATGAGAATGAACTGGCTGGAAACCAGGGGAAAGCAGTGTCCTCTCTTTACTTATAAGCTTGGCTCCCCACAGACTGGCTCCCTTACCATCTCAGGTGATAATACCTCTCACCAATGAAAACACACTAGAGTTAAAATCCAAAGCAGAAACATTATATAACTGAGAAGGCCTGAAAAGAAAATCCATAATTCATTTTTACCTTAAAAACATACTTTAAATATTTTAGCATTTTTTTAAAGTCCTACAGTAATCATTAGTCCTTTCTCTGGTGAGTCACATAATTACATAATGAAAATTGCCTTTAACTTTGTAGACTTCTGCCTAGCTTTTACGGAAATGAAGTGGACCCTGTATACACATACAAAGGCTGCCCTCAATGTTCACCATGGAGCAGCTGTTGGCAGCTACTGATTCTACCTCCCATTCAGTAACATATACGCTCCCTTGGAGTCCAGTTCCAGGTTTCAAGGATATGCAAACCCTCAGAACCCCTTACCTTTAGCTATGCCCTGACAGCTAGAAAAATCAAGGAAGGCATTAATTTCTTTTTGTGGAAGGTAGAAAGTCCGGTGGAACAGAGTAAATCAAGGATTTCCTAACAACTTCTGCTATTTAAGTACTTCCTTGTACCTAAAATTCCCTTAACAATCTGAGATATTAAAATAACTCTGAGATTAACAAGTCACTTTATACTCCTGTTATTGGACAGTAGAAAAGTCATTCACTTGGCTAGTGTCTGAATTAACTCTTACATAATTTCCTGATCATATCCCCTCTTTGGGAATTACATGAAAGCCCTAAACTTACCTTTAGTGCATTTTCACAGGCAGTAACCAAATACAGCAGCAGAAATGTGGTCATATGAATTAAGATGCTTAAATTTCAACCTAACAAATTCCCTGTAAGCATTTTTAAATGAGATCTTACTTAAAAAGAGCGCAAAAATAAGTCCTACATTCTGAACACACCAAAACATTGCTTTGCTTTTAAATTATTGAGTGTCAAATGATCAACATGATATTGTGTAAAGTTTTATAAGTTCTTCTAGAAAAACTGAGGGCAACAAGTATTCTCCATCTTTTGATAACACTGTCAGAGCCCATCCACATCTGTCACACAGAAACACACAAAAGCCTTTAGTGTTAATTATACATAAGTGCTTCAGGGGGGAATACTGCTTTCATACATTTAAGGTACACAGATTCATTTTTTGCTAGGAAAAAATTCACATTTTTGGAACTTAAAAATTTCAAACCACTACTGTACCTTCTAACAAACCCTTACCAATGAGGTAAGCCAAAAGATTTTCTGATGGAGGTAGAGGAAAGGTGATAGATAGGAAGGAATAAGAGGAAAACGGGAAATTGTGGTTTAATTAAAAAGCAGAGCCATTCAGAATTAACAAGCAATTGAGGAATTCCTATGAGATTGGGGGAGGTGGGGTTGCTACAAAAAGGTCTCAAAGTCTCAGAGCAGGATAAATGGTAAATGGTACAGTATACCAAAAATGCATAACATGGAAACACACCGGACAGACAGAAAGGGGGAAACTACGTGTCTGGGGTAGGGAAGTTACAAAAATGTTAAGGATCAGGCACTGTTTTGTTTTTGCTAAGAAACTCGGAGCCAGGAAAGGGTTGCATTCCCAGGTAAGCACCCTGAAAATAAAGCACTGCTTAATGAGGGAGGGGCCAGGAATAAACAACGGGGGAGGGGAGGGCTGGCTTACTACCTTGATAGAGGATGCTGGTCAGAGGCTCTCCGCTGCTCCTCCGGGGGCTGGGCAGCCCCTTCCTGCTCTCTCCTCTCCTCTAGCCAGCGCAAACCTGGAAATCAGAAACCACTGAGTGGTGCAGTGCCCCGGGGACGAGGAGGAGGGGGCTCTGAGGAAGGGGGAGCGAAGGAAGCGTGCGGTAAGGGCAGGCAGGAAGAAGCAGTGATTCTCCTCCCTCCCAGCCTGCCCCATTCCCCCCAGGGGAGGTCCCTGACTTTACCTGTCTCCTCAGCTGCTGCTTCTCTTCCTCCTTTCAGCCTTCTCCACACTCACCAACTTCTCCATTGAACAAACACCCCAGCAGGGCCGGACACGGGTGTTCCTGATCCTCCTCCGTGCCTCACGGCCCCAGCCCGGCGAGCACCCAGACAGCCGAGCAGACGCGGGACGGCGGTCCTAGCCGCTGGGCAGCCTCAGGGCAGGGGTGCAGGGAGGAAGTCCCGGCTCGGGTGGGGGTGCAGTCCCGGTCTGAGGGCTCGGAGCAAGGGGCTGCCGCGCTCCGGGCCGAAGGCTCCCGGTTGCTGGGGAACACGGGAGGTCTCAGGGCAGCGAGACCCCGGTTCATACAAATCCGAAGTGCCAGCAGCAGGGGCTCCGGGCAGGGGGCTTTCGGGATGCACTTTGCACCGGGCCACCCCCGCCCCCTCCCTCCAGCACTTTGGGGTCACTGGGATGGGACCAAGCCTTCAGCAGCCAATCAGCAGCCGCACTGGAGCCTGAGCCCGGAGCCGTAAACCAGGTCCGGGGTGGGTGGGGGTGGTGGGGTGGGGGCGACTTGGTTGGTTGCTTGCTTCCTTCTCTCCTCCTTACCCCCGGCAGCCCCCACTACTTGCTGCCGTAAAGCTGCCTGCCCATTCGCGACACTTAGAGGAGGCGTGCCGATCGAGCCTGGGACTCGTCTGGGATTGGCCTCACTCACTTCCCCTTGGCTTCCCCCGTGCGGCTTCCGATGCCCCGCCCCTGGCGGGGGTAGGGAAGACTCGAAGCGGTTGCTAAGAGACAGTGTACTCCGAATGTGGCCTCTGCGCATGCGGGAGGAGGGCCCAACTTGTACTTTTCGTGAACTACGGTTGCCGGGAGGGGGCAGCTGTGCCCTGGAATGGCGGTTTGAAGGCAGGGTTCGATTCGCCCGGTCCCTGGGCAGGGAAGTAGGAGCGCCCGCCCGCTGAGCTCGGAGGTGGAGGAGGCGTGTGTGTTGCCAATTTGAGAGGTTGGTCCAGGGGTTTAAGGCCGGGGAGGCGGCAGTCCGCAAGAAGCAAGGAGAGGAGAGCCTTGTCCCACCGCCCCTCTTCAGCATGCCCCGCCCCTGGCGGGGGTAGGGAAGACTCGAAGCGGTTGCTAAGAGACAGTGTACTCCGAATGTGGCCTCTGCGCATGCGGGAGGAGGGCCCAACTTGTACTTTTCGTGAACTACGGTTGCCGGGAGGGGGCAGCTGTGCCCTGGAATGGCTGTTTGAAGGCAGGGTTCGATTCGCCCGGTCCCTGGCAGGGAAGTAGGAGCGCCCGCCCGCTGAGCTCGGAGGTGGAGGAGGCGTGTGTGTTGCCAATTTGAGAGGTTGGTCCAGGGGTTTAAGGCCGGGGAGGCGGCAGTCCGCAAGAAGCAAGGAGAGGAGAGCCTTGTCCCACCGCCCCTCTTCAGCGCTTTTCAGACGCGATTACCAAGTCTTTGGCTCGTTTTTCGATCGCTGAGGCCCCCTTAGCTTCCAGACTGGGCATGCCGCCCCTGGCGTGGAAGAAAGGACTGTCTTTGGGACGGCGGTGACGCTTCAAGGCCTTTCCTGCAAGGATAGCGACCTCCACGGATTCTTGTACATGAAAGGAGACAGGAGAATGGAAAGTATGCGAGCTGAACATGTTTATTAAGTGCATTTATTCATTTAGCAAGTGGTTATTGGCCCCGACACCTCTCAGCGTTAGGGAGACAACAGTGAGCAAGATAGATGCCATTCCTTGCCCTTGTGGAAGCTTCACTGTAACAAGGAGAGAGGCAAACACAGAATTATCAGGTAAGGATAGGTCACGTAAAGAAAATCAAGCAGAATAATGGGATCGAGTTTGATAAAACGTGATGACTATATTTGATAGGTAGTCAGCAAAGGTCTCTGAGGAAGTGTCATTTGAGCAGCGATCTGAATGAGGAGTAGCCAGCCATGCCAAAATCTGGCGAGAAGAATTTTACAGGCAGAATGAAAAGCGCAGAGACCCTGATGCAGGGATATTCTTGGCGCTTACAGAAAGGTCAAGAAAGAAGGGTAGCACAGTCAAGAAGTATAAGAGGAGAGAATGACTGGTAATGAGGTCGGGGGTGTGGGACAGGCTGCAGATCTTGCAGTTACTGCAAACATGGAAGGCTGTTGTAATAACAGATGGGGGTCACCACAAGACTTTAAATTTTGCCCCCTGATATTTTCTTATTCGTTATTGTTCATTCGTTCAAGAATATGTGTTTTGATGCCTTCCATATGAACCACCTATTGGCTTATGATTGCTAGCTTCCTTCTCTCCCCCTTACCCCCGGCAGCCCAAGGGGAGAGGGGCAAGAACCGAACTAGAGGATAGTTACAGACAACGCAGGGAGATAAGCCCTTGGTATAAGCTGAGAGAGCACTTGGCAGGTCCCCCTAAACCTGAGTTGGTTAAGTGGAAGATTTCCTCAGGACTGGAAGTTTCCAAACAGAAGGTTGACAGTGGGAGGGAGAAGGTTTGAGTGTGATTTAGTCAGAAAAAAATGGGCTAAGCAAAGCTTGGGAATCCTGAAAGCACACAGAGTTTCTGAGGACCTCAGAGAAAGGCTGGAGCTTGGTTTGTGGGGCACAGATGTGAGAAGAGCCCACAAGTCAGGTAGTAAAGGGCCTACTAATCTGTTTTAGAAGTTTGGATTTAGTCCTAAGGAAAGTACAGAGGTTTTTCAGAAGACAGTTGTTGTAGGGTGAGCCAAGAAACAACCCCCTTAGCAAGGAGTCTTTTGCAGTTGCCAGGGTAGAAGTGGTGTGCTGCAGTAGGCGCTGTGAGGAAGGGTCCCGGATGTTCAGGTTGCGAGCTTGGGTGACCGGAAGATACAAATGCCATATACTGAGATGAGGAGTGTAGGAGAAAAGCTTGAGGGGCAGTCGAATGAGTGGAATTTGTGCCGAAGATGCTGTGGGATCTCCAAGTGGATCTCTCTGATGGCATTAGATTCTGGGAGGGAACCCAGAAGAGAGCTAGACCCTAACTGGATTCTGAACTTATGAATGTGGAGATAATAACTGAAGACATTGAAAGTCTATGAAATTGGTCTAAGAAGAGAGAGAGGATATAGAGGACTGAACACTTTAAGGTCCCAACAGTTTTTTTCCCCCAGTTTCATTGAGAAATAATTGACATACATTATTATGTAAGTTTAAGGCGTATGGTGTGATGGTTTCATTTACAATAATTATGAAATGATTACCACAATAAGTTTAGTTAACATCCATCTGCTACAGATGCCATAAAAAGAAAGGAAAAAACTTTTTCTTGTTATGGAACCCTTAGGAGTTACTCTCAACTTTCCTATATATCATACAGCAGTGTTAAGCTATAGTTATCATGTTGTACATTACATCCTTAGTACTCATTTGTTCTAAAACCGGAAGTTTGTACCTTTTGACCACCTTCCCCAAATTCCCCCACTCCCCTGCCCACCCCCTCCACCTGTGGTAACCAAAAGTCTGATCTCTTTTTTTGTGAGTTTTTTTGTTTGTTTTTTAAGGTTCCACATATAAATGAGATGATACAGAATTTATCTTTCTCTGACATACTTTGCTTAACATAATGCCTTCAAGGTTCGTATGGTCATAAATGGTATGATTTTCTTGTTTTTTATAGCTGAATAATATTCCATTGTATATACAACACAGCTTCTTTATCCATTCATCCATCCGTGGACACTTAGGTTGCTTCCGTGTTGTGGCTGTTGTCAATAATGCTGCTAAGAATGTGGGGGTGTGGATATCTTTTTGAGTTAGTGTTTTCATTTCCTTTGGATATATTCCCAGAAGTTGAATTGCTGGATTCAAAGTGTCTGTACCAATTTACAATCCCACCAACAGTGCCTTACGGTTCCCTTTTCTCTACATCCATGCCAGCTTTTGTTATCTCTTGTAGTTTTGATGATGGCCATGATAACAGGTAAGGTGGTATCTCACTGTGGCTTTAATTTGCATTTCCCTAATGACTAGTGATGTTGAATATCTTCTCATCGATCTTTTGGCCTTTTGTGTATCTTTAGAGAACTATCTGTGAAGCTCCCTTGTCCATTTTTTAATCGGGTTATTTGGAGTTTTGTTTTTGTTTAGTTTGGGGTTTTTTGCTATTGAGTTGCATGAATTTTTCATTCATTTGGATACAACCCTTTATCAGATACATGGTTTGCAAATATTTTTTCCTATTCTGTAGGTTTTCTTTTCACTTTGTTGATGGTTTCTTTTGTTGTGCAGAAGTGTTTTAATTTGATGTAGGCCCACTTGTTTATTTTTCATTTGTTGCTGTGCATTAGGTATCTAAAAAAAACCATTACCAAGACCCATGTCAAAGGGCTTTATTCTACGTTTCCTCTAGGAGTTTAATGGCTTCAGGCCTTACATTCAAGTCTTCAATCAATTTTGAGTTAATTTTGTGAATGGTGTAAGATGTGAGTCCAGTTTCATTCATTTTACGTGTAAATATCCAATTACTGCAGCACCACTTATTGGAAAGACTTTTTCCCTTTGAGTATTCTTGGCATCCTTTTTCAAACATTAGTTCACTGTGTACGCTTGGGTTTATTTCCAGGCTATTATCTTCCATTGGTCTATATGTTTTTATGCCAGTACCATACTTTTTTGATGACTGTAGCCTTATAGTATAGCTTGAAATCAGGAAATGCGATGTCTCCTTGCTTTGTTCATCTTTCTCAGGATTTCTTTGGCTATTTAGGGTCTTTGTGGTTCCATATAAATTTTAAGGAGTATTTATACTACTTATGTAAAAAATGCCATTGGAATCCTGATAGGAATTGCATTGAATCTGTGCATGGCTTTTAGTAGCTTTGAAATTTTAACAATGTTAATTCTTCCAATCCTTGAACACAGGATACTTTCCATTTATTTGTCTTCTTTGATTTCTTTCATCAGTGTCTTACAGTTTTCAGAGTAGAGATCTTTCACCTCCTTAGTTAAATTATTCTTAGGTATTTTATTATTTCTCATGCTATTGTAAATGGGGTTGACTTCTTTATTTCTTTTTCAGAAAATTGTTTAGTCTATAGAAATGCTATTGATTTTTATATGTTAATTTTGCATCCTGCAACTTTACTGAATTCATTGATTAGATCTAACAGTTTTTTGGTTGTGTCTTTAGGATTTTCTTTACATAAAATCATGTCATCTGCAAACAGAAACAATTTTACTTCTTTCTTGCCTGATTGCTTTAAGTAGGACTTCTAGTACTATGTTAAACAGCAATGGTAAGAGTGGGCACCCTTGTCTTCTTTCTGATCTTAGATGAAAGCTTTCAGCTCATCACCATTGAATATGGTGTTATGTGGGCTTGTCATATATGGCTTTATTATGTTGAGATATTTTTCTTCCCTGCCTGATTTTGTTAAAGAGTGTTTTATCATAAGTGGATGTTGAATTTTTTCAAATGCTATTTTTGCATCTGTTGAGATGACCATATGATTCTTTTATCTCATTCTATTAATGTGATATATCACATTGATTTATTTGTTTATGTTGAACCATCCTTGCATCCCAGAGATGAATCCCACTTGATCATGGTGAATGATCCTTTTTATGTGCTGCTCAATTCAGTTTGCTAGAATTTTACTGAGGATTTTGCATCTATATTCATCAGGGATATTGGCCTGTAGTTTTCTTTTCTAGTAATGTCTTTTTGTGGTTTTGATGGTAGGATAATGCTGGCTTCATAAATTTTTTGAAAATTTTTTGGAAAAGTTTGAGAAGTATTGGTGTTAATTCCTCTTCAAATGTTTGGTAAAATTCACCAGTAAAGCCCTCTGGTCCTGAGATTTTCTTCATTGGGAGATTTTAAATTACTGATTCAATATCCTTTCTAGTAACTAGGCTATTCAGACTTTTTAATTCTTAACAATTCAGTCTCAGTAAATTGTATGTATATAAGAGTTTTTCCACTTCTTTTAAGTTGTCCAGTTTGTTGGCATATAATTGTTCATAGTAGCCTCTTTGATCCTTTGAATTTCTGTGTTATCCATTGTAATGTTTCCTTTTTCATTTATAATTTTGTTGATTTGGTCCCTTTTTCTTTTTCCTTGGTTACTCTAGCTAAGAGTTTACCAATTTTGCTTATCTTTTCAAAGAACAAATTCTTTGTTCATTCTTTTCTATTGTTTTTCTATTCTCTAGTCTTTATTATTTTCTTTCTTCTGCTAACTTTAGTCTCAATTTTTTCTTTGTCTGGTTCCCTGAGACATGGAGTTAGGTTGTTTACTTGGGATCTTTCTTACTTAATGTAGATGTCTATTGCTATGACCTTCCTTGGAACTGTTTTTGCTGTATCCTACAAACTCTGGTATGTTGTGATTGCATTTTCATTTGTCTCAGGACACATTTGTAATTCCCCTTTAATTTCTTCTTTGATCCATTGGTTATTCAGTAGAGTGTTGTTTAATTTCCATATGTTTGTGAATTTTCCAGTTTTCTTCTTGTTGATTTCTGGTTTCATACCATTGTGTCCATAGAAGATACTTGGTATGATTTCAGTCTTCTTGAATTTTCTAAGACTTGTTTTGTGGTCTAAAATATGGTCTAACCTCGTACACTTCAGAAGAATGTGTATTCTGCTGTTGTTTGATAGAATGTTCTGTACATATTAGGTTCATTTGGTCTATAGTGTTTTTCAGATCCGCTGGTTCCTTATTGATTCTCTGCCTGGTTGACCTATATCCATTGTTGAGAGTGTTGAAGTCCACAACTATTACTATATTACTGTTATTTCACCTTTTACCTCTGTTAGTTTTTGCTTT